TAGTCTGATAGAGCAAAGTGTGTTCTTCACAGATATCACGAATTTTTCGATGGTTTTCTGCAGAGATATATGCATCGCAGCAAATGCCTCAGAAATAGTATCAGAAGTAAATAAATCAAGGCTTCAAAAGGATCTCTAAGTATTTTTGCTATAACTTTTTGAACAAAGCAATGTGATTTTTCGAACATTAAATCTCTGAGATACTTGATCAAGTATTCGTACTAACATTTTCAGCCCGATTGAATGAAATTCAGGGCGGGCGTAACCAGTACAGGTCAAAGATCAGATTTGTCAAAAACTCCTGGACCCATCAGATGATTGGAGAGTTAATATGGTCTCAAAAGATGCGCAAAAGAGTTGTGCGTGGTGTCTAAAAATATTAAGTGGTTATGATTCATAGTTCACAAATAGTCAGATCCGCAGAAGTTCAACTGAGGAGTGAGTCATTCTTAGATCAAACGAAACTGTAAAATAAATGAAAAAAACTCATTAAATCATTTTTATATCTATACAGTTACCACGACCGACTGAAAATGGTATATACGCAAATGCCGATCGGCTAATGCCATTCTTGAGAAAAAAACGATCTAGACCAAATAACTCTGCATTTGCAAAGTGTGTTGGATCACGATTTATACAATAAATAGGTATATGTACAGCAGTATTTGCTAATATTTTGTATCCGTCTAAAAGTAGAGAACACGAAAAATACTGGATAACTTTGTTCCGTTTCTAAAGCTTGACGCAGGAATATCCACAGATAAGAGAACTTACTGTAATAAACATCTTGGACTTGTCTTGCAATGATAGATGTTGATGGGAAAAGGCGCAGAGCTTCCAAAACGAAATAAGCAAGAAATTTCTTTTGCATATCGACAAATTTGTTGCCAAGTCAATTAAATAACAGAAAATTAAATTATTTTTGCTTAAATTTAACATGTGGTTAACGCGATATAAAATAAATCTATAGTAAATTAACAGGACAAAAGTATCAGAAGGAGGATGATTTAAGAGCGGTTTTTCGAACCAAAAGAATTTTGCTTTTATATTTATCATAAATTACTTAGAATTTTTGTGAAGTTAAGCAAATAGCATCCTCAAAGAAAGTCTGAAGCATCCAGACAGTTGGCGGTTTTATGTGAATTATACCATGCAAAAACTGTAATAAACGATGAATGCTATATTTCTGTGTTCGAGTCTTACTTTCTACATAACTTTTGCTGAGAAAGAAATCAAATATTTTTTCCTTTTTCAAAATTCACTGGAGAACGAATATACGAAAATGGTATAGTTACCTTCATGACACGTTTTAAGTAATCCATTTGTTTTAAATCATCCATTGTACATAATCTATGGTTATCGTCACCTATGTCATATAAAACTCAACATGCTTTTTCAGTTAACAGAAAATAAGACGAACTTCAAACAAATTATTCTTTATAATCGATTTTTCAGTGCACTTTAAAACTGTGCTAAACCAAACTTTTTCTGAACATGATTGAGTAAAATCCTGTATTCAGGCTTAACTTACTGTGGAAAAAGGAAATTACTAGTTACATCCGCTCTTATCTAAAGTATCTCTACTGCAGTTTTAGAAATTATAACATATACCAATTATATTATCAGTGTTTTTTTTTACTTACACCATACATGAATGTGTCAGCTTCTTCTTGAACTTCATCTAGTGTTAATTGTTCATGTATCATTATTACCAATGTATCAAGAAATGTCATGCGTTTGTTTTTTAATTTGTTTGTTTTAAATGCAGCAACTCGAGCATCGTGTACCCAAATAAATTACTTTACTGGAGTCCTACTTATTATCACAGACATTCTTATTTACTGACGCTACATGTAGACGAGAATTTTTTCAGCAACAATAACAACACAATCATTTTCTCTGGTTGAATTTTACTTTTCTGTTGCTGTTACATAATCAGAATTTTCATTTTACGCTCCAGCACTTTCTCGCATGGCAGCTTCTAAAAATATAAAGACACAATTGCAATATTCCGTTTGAGTTGTCCATCATCTATGGCGAAGAACAAAATAAATATAGACGCACTCGACATTATATAAATAGATGGTTGCCCACAATTAAATCATGGATTAGGAAAAATTCGGGAACAGCTGCTGTTACACCAGAACCACTGATGTCGACTGAGCTATAGCTCATAATCTTAGACCTAGGAAGGCGGAAAACTGATCAAAAAATGATGGTTTCTAACATAAGTTTTAGGCTACCTTTGACGTATTATAAATCTTATGGTTTACGTTTTACTTTCTTCGTTTCTGAGACTTTAAATTTTTTAAAAGTTTTTATTGTGTTTAATTTATCATGTCTGCTGATGAAGATGCAAAGCATCGAAACGTTTAGACGAACATAATTTGTATGAATGAATTAATTACAATTTAGAAGTATCAAAGGTCACGAAATCTACATCATTTGTTGTGATTAAGAAAACTCTAAGAAGATCATACAAGTAACGTTCATCTTCGATTCACTGATCCTAACGAATCGAACATGTATGATGTCCAAAATTCAAAACTTGAGCAAAATTAGTTTGCGTTTTTTCTGTTATAGTTGGACAGAGCTCATCGAGTTATCGAGTAGAGGCTCAGATTTCTACCTTTAGAAGTCATGAGTCTATGAAAAAATGAGAACAAGAGCGACGTCATCGTTTTATGTGCAAATTGGTTACGTAGAACGAAGCGAGTGTCATATTTTCTGTGAAAAGCAATAACAGATACAGACATGTTAATCAATCATCCCTAGTGAGTGTACTTGCATGCTGGTACTTTTTCAAGTACCCTCGCAAGTTTTGTCCAACGTTCTTGCGCTTTTTTGCAAGTAAACCAGGTACTTGTCAAGAATACCAAGCACTCGAATTACTTTATCTTCTTGTCAAGTCATTTGCCACGCACTTGCCCAAGTAACCCTACAAGTGCTTGTGGCAGGTTCAACAAGTAAATCAAGTACCTGGCAAGTGCTTTTGGGTATTTATCGAATAGTATTTTTTGAAAATACTTGTCAAGTGCTTTTCAGGTACCCGTGGAAATTTGCAAGTATAAATAGTAAGTATAATAAACAAGTACCCACTTCCAAGTGCATTCACTAGGGACCATTTACCGCAAGACTGGTCTGTGTAAATGTTTTGGTACATTAAATGGTGATCCGAGTTCGTGGTTCGGAGTTTAAAACTCAAAAACTCATTGCAAACATGTGAAACTCTAATGTACTCTTTATTATCTTAAGGTTTCCGGCAGTTACGCCTCCTATATACAACTACTTCTGCTCTTCCTTTTTGCTTCAGTTTTGTAATAAATACTAAAAATAAGAACGACAACAAATAAAGAACGAAACTCGAACGCGTTACGCGATCCTGCCGCGAATTTTTATTCAATCAAGACGATCGACAAGTTTATCCTGCTTACGGCGTTGATAGCGCAACATCGTAGATGACGTTTTACTGCATCGTTCTGTCGATCACTCGAGCAAAAATGACTCTTAAAGATAAAGTGCAATATATTGGGGAAAAGCCTACGAAAATGATGTTTTCTATTCCAGTTTCATATTCAAGTTAACTTCGATTTTCGATGTCTAGTGCATTTTGAGGTTTTATGTTCAGAACTGTTTGATTCTGGAAACATGTAGACAATGCTAGCAGCGTGGCGCAGTGGAAGCGTGCTGGGCTCATAACTCAGAGGTCGGTAGATCGAAACTACTCGCTGCTACTCGTCTTTTTGTTGTTTTTTGTTTTGTTGATTCATTGTCATTCATTTGCGTAATGATTGCTTGATCTGTACTTTAAAGTGTGAGGTTCATCAACGGCATGGTACGTGGGCTGCGACAAAAAAATATTCTATGCTTATTTCGTGCACTTTTTCATTTTTGCTCGACTCAGATTCATTGGATGAAAGTTCTGAGTTTGAACTAAAATAAGATAAGATTTCATCTCCTGTTTTTCAGTTTTTTCGGCTCTACTACATGTACGGAGATATTCACAAAAACAGCGCCCAGCGTAGGACAGTGAACATCTCCGTACATGTAGTAGAGCCGAAAAAACTGAAAACAGGAGATGAAATCTCATCTTATTTTGGTTCAAACTCAGAACTTTCATCCAATGAATCTGAGTCGAGCAAAAACGAAAAAGTGCACAAAATAAGCATATTTTTTTCTCGCAGTCCACGTACCATCACAGATCTCCATCAAAGACGAGACAAGCTAAACTAAAATGCAATCAAGCTGCACTCAAGCTACACTTGAGGAGTGCTAAGTTTTAGTTGATTGTAACGGATGTGCCTCTGCGTATTTTCTATTTTTCTCGTGTTTCTTTAGGACCCTAAGGTTAGTGTTTTTTTTAACAGGTTGGCCACGAAATACTCTACAAAACTATACTTAAACTTTAGTTCCAGAAGTTCAGCCAAGAAAACTACGCAAATTATACGTAAAACGAAAAAAATTAAAAACTTTCTAAATTCGATATTGTTTTCGACTTGAACTTTTTTTCCTGCTATTATTTCTGTAAAAAAGTGTAGCAAAAGTGACAGCACAGTTCTTTGCGTACTTTTGAATAGGCTCTTTCTCGTGGTCTGTAAAAATATTTTTTAGAGCAGATGGTGTGCTGGAGAACGAGGTTACAAAAATTGACAGCCCGGCGTTTCCAACAAGTGTGCCCAAGCAAGAAACGGAAAACACCATTGAAGTTTTGCTTTTGCATCAATGGATAAATGAATTACCAAAAAGCGTACATAATTCCCATATTTTGACTGAAATTTATTATATTGACTACAAAATTCTCATCCTAAACTCTGCAGAAATTAAGAATTCTAAATGGAGAGATGTTTAGTTGGATATTTCATTTGAAGCAATGACGTTTCAGTTGCATTTTTCTATAATGTCTACAATTACCGAAAGAAAGTCACATTCGTGCATTGTTCACACACTGAATAAGTCAATAAAATATGTAAAAACGGATGTGCCTGGGTAACGGTATAGTTTTAACGGTCAACTACGTATGAAGTGTCCATTTTTAAAGCTGATGATAAATCTGTAATTAAAATAGGATATTTTGAATAATTCGTCCAAAGTTGATCAACGGTGTTGCCTGTTAAATTTAACCAAATAGCCGGAGTATATGTATTCGTTCTTAAACTTACATCTAATTCTTCAATAATTGTTGAATTATAACGATTTTCTAACCATACAAGAAATCGAGCGGTTACTCCATAACTATCATTATACTGTTGTGTTGGTGAATAATCTGGTAGTGACCAGTCAGTATCAGCATTACCTTTTGCGTAAGTGTATCGAGCATAATCCGCGATACCTTCTCCCAACCATTTTGCCTCCGGAGTTGCTGGATAATCTTGAACAACATGCATTAGTTCATGAAGTAGAATGTCATAATAACGATACTGATATCTGATAGTTTTTGTGCTTATATTAATTGTATTTCCGTACGCAACTGCTATAAAACTACTTTTCCGCGTAGGATCCAAACGAACAGTAACAGATTTTGGAGCATTACGATTGAAACGATCGACAAGTTTTGGATATAGACTGGAATAAAGATTAATTAGGCGTTGAATTATAGCTGTATTAAAAGTACGCTCATTATTTATTATCGTTATATTATAGTCGCCACAATTGTAAGTGTGAATATCATTATATGATTTATTTTGGGTTAGACACGGTTTAATAAGGTAAAAGACAATTACGACAATAATTATTTTTTGAGCATTTTCCATTAGCACATTTCCTAGAGAGAATCATCAAATGTAAATGTTACGAGTTTAGCAAATGCACAATCCTGTTTAGTTTATCTACGAAAGAAATCGATTCAAACGTATTAAAAGTGAAAAATAGCGATTCAAGTATTCATAATCGGTTGGAAACTGTAATATGGTTGGAAGCAGATTCTTTCGTAGCAGAAAAAGGAAGGAATATCATTCTAGTGGAATGGTTGTCAATCTGCAAGCGCTCCATCTTGTTTGATAAAACTTGTGCACTTACCGTGAACAAGTATCTAGTTTAGATACAAAAATCACTTTGAATATTTATTGAATAGAGGAATATGTAGTTTATTGGGGTGATGTTCGCATTTTTATTTTTGAAATACGAGAGAACAGAGTTATTATGACGCATGACTGAACCTGTTACATGAAACAGAACAACGATGATATATACATATTTTAACTGAACATATCAAGCGACTATCGCTGTAATTCTAGCACTAGGCCTATCTCGCTTCTTGATGTTTTTCTTAAAATTTTGGAACGCCTGTTCGTTATCCGTTTCCAAAAGGTGTTAGAAAGCCGGGGTATTCTTCATAATTCTCAATCGGGCTTTCGGTGTAATTTCCGTCTCCAAACCCGGGTCCTGCTCTTGATCGATCAAATCTCGTCACTCATGAGTAATAGCTCTTCCGTAGCAACTATTTTTGTGGATTTCAAACAAGCGTTTGACCAGCTGTGGTAGGAAGGTTGCCTTGGCAAATTGCGGCGTTTGGATATTCCTTCAGTCTTTGTCCAGTGGATTGAAATATGATTTAGCGGTAGAAGTGGTTTTATTGAGATAGAAAGGAAGAGGTCCCGTTCGTTTCTCATTAAGCGCGGAGGGCCTCAGGGTTCTTCCTTCACTCCTTGCCTTTTTATCACGTATCATTTAGATATGTGAACCTTTTTAGAATGCTCTATCCAAAACTTTTTTGCAGACGACCTGACAAATGTATTGGCAGGTATAATCGGTGCCAAGTTCTCGCATCAGTGTTTGGATTTAGAGATTAGACTACAAAAATTCTTTGTATGGCTGGAATTTTATTCCATCCTATCTGTACAACTAATTAACTATCAAAAAACCGAGACTATGTGGACAGCTCGCGCTCTCGGAAAACCCAAGTTCGATATCTACTGCGTGGAACATTAAATAGAGTGGGTCTCATATTCCAAATATCTAGTGTATTGGATAGCATCGAGGCTAGATTGGGGTAAAGCGATGGTACGATACAAAACAAAAATCGGACAAAGAGTGTAGCTATAGTGCGAGTATGTAGGTACAATGGCACTTCTAATATCGAATTCAAACGAATGCTATTTTTCATATATGTGTTTCCCCTGTTCACTTGCTATCTTTCCGCTTATAACGCAGTATCAACAAGCTGAAGTGGCACATTTTTATTATTCATCTTTACGTCAGGTCTATGAAGTTTTCTATTGGAACGATACAGTCTGTTCCATTATGTATGATGAACGATCTTTCGAAAACAGATGTTTCCAGTACTGGAGCAGGTTTTTATGTTCACTTGCAAATTCTATCGATGGAATAATGCTATACGAAGCTTATGTGCTAAATATATTTAGAGAGCAGTGAGTAAATAAAGTAAAAAGTATACGCAGATCGAAACGAATTGTTCCTAATTTATCGGTTTTCCAAAAGTGTGTTTCTTGGCTTTCCGATAATGTAGAAAATTCGATACCCCAGGTTGGAGAAGACGAGCTCGAAACGTCTATAAAATTTCCTGATTCGTTTTTATAAACGTATTGTGACTATGTTTTTGGTCTGTAAACTAGTTTTTTCCTATCTTCACACTATTGTTTACCTCAATTCATGGTATTCACTCATCTTATGTAACTTTTCTAACTCACATAACTTTAATATCATTTTCTGTTTTTGCTTCGTTTGTATTTTTATTTTGTTGTCTTTACGATGGGTGTCCTGATAGACCCTATGAGCAAAAATAAAGCTAATTATCATCATCAATTCTATCACTAGCACTATAGTCAGATGTGAATGCCAGTTAAAAGAAATATGTTGAGTTAATGACAAAGATGAATCATCTATACCACAAAAAGTGGTTGACCGACATTACGTTAAAATATTGCATGATAAGCCTATCTTCATAGCACTTGTTAGCTTACACAATCATGATCAAACATTTTTTTCTAGTCTTCAATGTTAAAGGATAAGTTATCTAAGAAAAATTATTTCATTGTTACAAATCGAGCTTTATTGATTCAATAGAAACTTCAATTTCTGTGCGAAAAGTGGAAAAATTAGACCAACTAGTTTGAAAATAGAACATCGGCGTTAAACGCGCGGAAGGAAGAGATCGATTGACTTTTTTATTAGTTGAACACATACATGAGAAATCAATATAGTTTCTATACGCCAAATACACGCAACCAAAAACCGTTGTCGACACGACTATTTTGTCGAAATAATTAATAAACCGAATACAAGTTGACATACATATTAGTTTTAAACTTTGCTACGTTTAACTATGAACTCATTTATTCATAATTACTTCACTTGTTG